TGGAATAATGATAGCTTTGTACTTTGCATAAAGTGTTGGTGACATTAACCTCACCTCCAAACTTTAAGACTTAGTAATTACTGGAGTTGTGTAAATTTGTTTCCTTTTTTTTTTTGGTCTTTTTGAGACAGGTCCTCCCTGTAGCCCCAGCTGACCTGGGAACTCACTATGTAGACCAGGCTGGCCTTGAACTTACAGAGATCTGCCTGCCTCTGCTGGGGTTAAAGGCGTGAGCCACCACTCCCAGCCTTTTTTCTTTCTTTCTTTTTTTTTTCTTTAAGGCTCTAATAACTGGGCTGGGGATGTAGCTCAGTGATAGACCGCTAGCATGCCCAAGGCCCTTAAAAAAAAAAAGCATGCTAACTAACCCATTCTTTTTTGCTTGGAAAAATGGTTTCTTATTTGAATGTTTTGAATATTACATTTTTTTTTTTTGGTCTTTTTGAGACAGGGTCTCCCTGTAGCCCCAGCTGTCCTAGAACTCGCTATGTAGACCAGGCTGGCCTCCAACTCACAAAGATCCGCCTGCCTCTGCCTCCAAAGTGCTGGGATTAAAGGCATGTGCCACCATCCTGGCATTTATTTTATTTTTAATTATGTATATGTGTGTATCTGTTTGTGGGTATGTACACATGAGTTGCAAGGACCTGCAGAGGTTAGAGTTGTCAGATCCCTCTAGATCTGGAGGTTCATGTGATTGTGAGTCACTTGGTGTTGGTGCTAGGAACTGAGCTTGAGGCCTCTGCAAGAGCAGAAAGTGCTCTTAATCACTGAGTCATCTCTTGAGCCCTACCCCCCCACCCCAATTTTTTAAAGCAAACAAGGGGCTGGAGAAATGGCTTAGCAATTAAGAGTGCTTCCTGCTCTTACAGAGGACCCAAGTCCAGTTCTCATCTCACCACACTGCCTGCACTTGTTTGCACATGTACATAATTTAAAAACTAAAGAAATCTTAAAGCAAGTAAATGAAATTAAAAATCCAAACAAAACAACCCCCTCTCCCCCCAAAAGACAAAAATGCATCAAACCATGACTTCATAGAGGGTGGGATACTTGTGGGGTGAAATAGTCCCACATCTTTTGTAATCATAGTTGGGAAGAAAGCACAAGAGGGCAGGTCCTCTAAGGTTATTTGCTTCTCTGAAATAAATATCTTGTTGCTTTGTCTTGGATTCTACATCAGATCTGAGTTGAAGAACAAGCTTGTGATATTAATCTAGTTCATAAAATTTCATGCCTCACTAAAACCCTCAAATCAGTAAGACACAGGGAAAACAAAGCAAAACAAACTGTTCTTTAGTGTTGATGTTGAACAACACAACTTTTTAAAAGAATATTTTATTATTTTTATTTTATGTGTATGAGTGTTATACCTGCATGTAGGTAAGTGCACCCATGTCGTGCAGTGCCCGTGGAGGACAGAAGAGGCCATCGGATCCCCTGGAACTGGGGCCACAGACAGTTGCTAGCTGCCATGTGGGTGCTGGGATTCAAACCCGGGTCTTAGGCAAGAACAGTTAGTGTTCTTAACTGTTGAGCCATCTCTCCAGCCCTGAGCAACACAACTTTGTATTTTGCAATGGAAGTGTAAACTTTTTTTTTTCCTTTTGGTCTTTTTGAGACAGGGTCTCTCTCTGTAGCCCCAGCTTGCCTGGAACTTACTATGTAGACCAGGCTGGCATGGAACTCACAGAGATCCTCCTGCCTCTGCCTCCAGAGTGCTGGGACTACAGGCGTGCGCCACCACGCCCAGCTAGAAGTGTAAACCTTTTAATAAGAAAGAAGAAAGCAAAAAGGGATTGCATAGCTAAGAACCCTGCTCCCTGGGACTGCTTGGTGCTTGGACATAGATGATCTCCCTGCTTCTTCCTTTTAAGAGGACAAGCAAAATAGTAGCTATTTTTAACTTTTCAGAGGTGAGGTGATGTAAGTTCTAAAGATAAACATTTTACAAGTAGTTCTTGGCTTGAGAAAAACAAGTATAAGGGGGCTGGAGAAATGACTTAATGGTTAAGAATACTGGCTACTCTTGCAGAGGACCTGGGTTTGATTCCAGCACCCACATGGTGGCCATCCGTAACTCCAGTTCCAGGGGATCGTACACCCTCTTCTGACCTCCATAGACACATAGAGACAGCTAAATATGTGTTAGGTGCTATTAAAAACATACAAACTCAGCACTACTTCTAGGAAGCTGAAGCTAGAGGATTACCATGAATTTAAGGCCAAGTTGGGCTACATAGTATGGATTCCAAGCCTGTCAGGAATACAGCGTGAGAACCTGTCTCAAAAGCCCAAAAATAGGGCCGGAGAGATGACTCAGTGAGTGTAAAGGCACTTGGCTGAGCAAGTTTGGTGTCCTGAGTTCAATTCCCCAGAACCCATGTAAAGGAATGGGGGGAGAATCCATTCTATAAAGTTGTCTTCTGACCTACCATGGCTCACTATGACATATACATCCTTTATAATGCACACTCAGTACATACACAACAATAACAACAACAGTAATAATAATAAAACCAAATTGGGAATGGTTGTGTATGCATATTAGCACTCAGGAGATGGAGGCAGGAGGATCAAAAGTTCAAGGTCGTCCTCAGCTACATAGCAAGTTTGAGGCCAGTCTGGATACATGAGACCCTGTGACAAACAACAGACAAAACAAAATTGACTCTATATGGGAAATGGAAGAATGAACAAATTTTTGTTGGTGAGGATCTGAGTAGGTTTTATAGGACAGCTGAGTGCAGGTTTCAGCAGGTGAAGCTAACTAGACTTGAACTTTCAGGACAGAGAGAACCCCTAGAAACAACCAGAGAGCTGGGAAAGTTCCAAGGTGTTATAGAGGTATCTTGGGGGTCAGTGGTATGAATGATTCTTGTGCATGTAATTGAGAAACTGAATGTCAGATTATTATTATTATTTTTTTTTGAGACAGTCTCCCTGTAGCCACAGCTGGCCTGGAACTCAGTATGTAGACCAGGCTGGTCTTAAACTCATAGAGATCCCTCTGCCTCTGCCTTACCAGTGCTGGGATTAAAAGCATGCACTACCATCCCCGGCCTCAGATTACTTCTTGATCAGTGATTTAGTAGTGGTTCTCAAATGCTTCACCAGAATCACTTGAATGGTTTGTTAAACTACAGCTAGTTGGACACAGATTTGTTTCCGTTGTCTTGAGGTCTTTGTTTCTAACATGTTCTAGGTGATGCTGATACTGTACATTGTGAGCACCAAATGAGTCTGAAAAGTGCCTGCAGAAATGCCAATTTTGTGACTGTAAATCTACAATGTTAATGCACAATAATGGTGTTGCTTGCTCTGGGCACACAAATCTGGTTTTCCATAGATTACAAATTGGGGCTTCGATATTCAGCCTTTGGTACAGTGCTGGAATGTCAGTAATGAAAGCAGTAAATATGAGCTTGCTTACTTGGCATCCAAGTCTTTATAAGTATCTGAATCAGAGGCACATGGTACAGGTAGTCCTTGTAAAATGAATATTTAGAACCTCCATAACTCCAAGTACAAAACAGAAACAAATATAGCAACAATCAGGAAACATTTTTTTTTTTCCTTTTTGAAACAGGGTCTCCTTGTAGTTCCAGCCAGCCTAGAACTTGCTATGTAGGCCGGCCTCGAACTCTCAGAGATCTGCCTGCCTCTGCCTCCCAAGTGCTGGGACTAAAGGTGTGTGCCACCATACCTGGCTTAGGAAACATTTTTCTTAAGACTCCTTTACTTTT